ACGTTCCTTCCCGTGCATTTGTGTCTCTGAGTATGAACTGCAATGTCAAAGAGCAGAAAGTAACCCAAATCTTCAACAACCTATGTTGAAGGAACTATTTGTAATTTAGCTGACGGATAGCTATGTTGTGAAGCAACCATCTGCGAAACCCAAGCGTAAATGGAAAGATATTATTACAATGGGTCCTTTGAATATGATGTAAGGATGTGGGTGGACTGGACTCATCCGGATGACGATAGGGTTCAGTAGAGGAGACTTTTGAACACGGCAATAAATATGCAAGAAATGATAGTGATGAAAATAGCAATATTATGGTCCAGGTATGAAATGCATATATCAAATTGATCGAGACTCCTTAGGGATATAGATCGCTAGGCAATCTCATGTGCATGTGGGTTGAATAATATTAAAACTGATTTAGAAAGCACAACATGTGTACATGAATTGGATTTATCTGGCGTAGGACTCATGATCCAGTGGCAGGCTCTTGTGAACACCCAACGAACATTCGGGCTGCTGACGGACTAGCAATTTCTTGACTAGCTGACGTTTCGAGAGTGACTCTGTTCCGTGGAGTTATGTATAATGACGTATCGACACTCACTTTGGCTGAAACAGTTTTCCGAACATGTTCTTTAAGAATAAAAATGCAGTCAGAAATTCGATACTTTCATCTCCATGTACACACAACTCCCACTGTTTCAGGGAAAGACATTCCAGGCAACAGAAGCACATATTACCCAATTAGGATGAGTGGCTCATTTCTTCATAACTTACTTTTCCCCACCTCACTGCAAGCAAATGCATAGGCACAGTTAGAGCACGGTCACATTAAGACAAAATTGAATGTCATTAAAATACTTCAGCGTATCCGCACTCTTGTCCTCATTAGCTGCTGGCATCACCAAAATAATATTTCTATTACTACGGAAAACTACTGCTGCGTTATGACAAGTGAAGGATGTCTTGTAATTCCGGGATCATATGCGACAGACAGAGCCCATTTATCTAGGCTAGGTGTCGTTCACAAACATTACCACGTCTTCGATCCAAATCATATTGTGAACGTTAACCCCAGGGTATGATAAACTGTCCTTCACGCGTGTAAAAGGGATTATGCCGAAGCTGCTGGACTGGGGAACTTAAAGATGGGCGTTTTTTTTTTTTTAGAATTATAATTCGTATTTCATTACAGTCTTTTAACCCTTATGCCGTACGTGGTAAAGGAAGGAGAAAACCGGGCAACAAACATGGTCACTATTTACGGAAAAAGATTAACTACGCACTTTTTTTTCTTCACTTTTCTCTATTCCCTTCCTTCAGCCATTTCCTTTTTCTTTCGAACCGTCCTTTCCGTTCCTTTTACCTTCTAACTTTTCTTTATTTGTTCGCATTCCTTATTCCTTTTTATTTTCCTCTTCTCTTCGTTCTTTGCGTTTCTCTCTTCTTTCTTGCTTGTCTCTGCGTTCCTTATTTTTCTTATTTCATGTTTTGCTGTCATTTATTTTTCGCTCTTTCGCCTACATTCATATCGAGCCTGACCAACATATTCTGATGGGGATGCGAAACGTCCAGAGATGAGAGACGCAATATCTGGCAGCATGCCCCAGATGAGCCATGTAATTCCAAATTCCATAGAGAAATAAGTTATTAGCTGCACTGTTTTAAAATTACTATTAGGTATTTTGTATCTGTTTTGATGGTCTTGTGACTTACTGCTCGTGAATCAGAAACAGAGTTCATGTACTCATTGTACTGATCCTTCAGAACCCTTTCATGCACCACGTAAATAAGTGGATTGTAATACTTGCTTTGCCGGTCACGGTAGCCGAGCGGTCTAAGGCATGCACTGTCTTCGCTCGCTCGGAAGCCGGAATCGTGGGTTCGAATCCCACTCAGGGCATGGATGTTTGTGTGCGTTTTTCTGTGTTTGTGTACAGGTAGAGGCATTGCGACGAGCTGATCACTCGCCCAAGGAGTCCTACCGAATGTATAAGATGTAGAAAAACCGAAGTGAACGGAGAGTTTCATGGAGGTAGGCCTAGGCCCACTGGGGCTGTAGTGCCAAGGAAAAAAGCTTGCTTCAGTTATTTCTGCTATTACTGATTCTCTTTGCGTACACTCCCGCCTTGACACATTGACTCCCAAATATGCCGTCTCGCGTTGCAAGTCTAGCCAGCAAGTTGCAATATCATATCGTTTTTAGTCTTTATCTGTAAAACCGAAACAGTCATGTAACTCAGGCACTGAGGGCAGAGCGCAGTGCTGGAATATGGCAGGAGGAGTTCTCGTGAAATATCCAGTCCTCGAATGATACTCTGAATTTCTCAATTTTATGACTGCTGCTGAAATCGATCTCTCGAATTTAATGTACACTCATTTCACGAGACTGCGTGATCGCCGCCACCCAGAACACTCATGCGGACGGACGCTTCATTTACTCCTACACGTAGCCGTCCCAGGGGCATCAAGTTTAAACAGCTGATGACTTGACACGTAGTAAGAGAAATATTATTTGTAGGATTGAGTAGTTTCCTTGGGCGTGAGTGCCGTCACTTAGCTCCTAGCAGAGGGCTCTGATTCGATTTCCGGCCAATCCTATCTCTACTGGATTCTGCCCCGTCACGTGAATTTCCTTATTGATTTCTTTTTCAGTTTCCTTTCCACACCAGAGTCTGTTACAATTCTACATCCCTCTACTGCAACTTTCTGCTGCATTTCTTCAGCACTAATTTTTTATGACTCAGATAGTGTTGCTGCTAGATAAGCAGCTGCATTAGAATGGAGAATGCATACTTACGTAGTTCACAGCTCTAACAAACTGCATTGTCTATTAATAACCACTGACTTAGAGTAAACTTAGAAAGTTCGAAAGTCTTTTATCGAATTTACATCTATTCATAAACAAACATCGGGAGAACTTGAGGGACGAGAGTTAGGCATACACGGGCGAAGACATTACAATGGATCGTAATGAAACAGGCTCCGAAGATGCTGACTCGACCCATCTGCCTGTGGACAGAGGCGACGCGGCCGACCCTTATGAACCGGGTAATAAGCCTTAGAATTCCATAAAATGTAGGAACGATTTTTAATACCTGGAAGACACTCTCCCACTCGTCTTTCATGTTTCGATAACCTGAAATAAACGCTAAAAATATTTGCTGAAGGGTAGGTCTACAATGACGAACCTCCCCGTCACGCAGCTGTCTCTCATTTTGCTCACAAACACCCCCAGTTCCTGACTTTCTGTAAATGTAAGACCCATGCCATAGAATTACGATTACAGTTATGTGTCGGTTCGACGTTACACAATTATAGAAATGCCAAATTATGGATGTAACACGCAAGAGATAAAAATATGGATATGAGTGAGGACCGACGGCCATTTTGTGACACGAGGGAGATCATGGTTTTGCAAAGGACAAGAAGACAGACAAGATATACGTGCCACTGGATGCAGAATACCTCTGCAATGTCTAAAAGAATGCTCTAACCACGTATCATATACAGCCTTACTGAAGACGCGGACCGTAGGTGTGGAAGGAATGCAGGAGACACGTGTACACACGGACACAAATTACTGTATTTACTACGTACGAGAAACATAACATCATATCAGTCTCTTATATATGTTGTACGCGGGCGTGAAGCCCAGACATCAATTTGCTACATCATCCGTTCTCGCCTCTACGGCGCATGCGCACCCAGCATGTGGGCATGATAACACACAATGAATACAGAATACAATATACATATACACTTGGAAAATATATTCTTATATAATCTAAATGTAAGCTTATTTAATTACTGATCACAGCGGCTGCGCAGAATGGGCCGCGTACACTATTGGTCCGTTCGAACACTGGGATCGCTAACACTTCGGAAAACGTCATACATGCCCTGCCCCTCACTACGAATGCAAATCCCTGGAGGATCTGAGGCCCTGTCAGCCCTGAGTTATCCCTTCTGGGGTAGGATGCCATGTAGTCCGTTGAAGTCAACCGACCTTCGGAGGAACACATCATCACCATTTTCAGGGACGAAGGATAAGCCAAGAAATAAACGAGCACGAAGCAGGTAGCAAACAGAGCTGCTGGTTTCTTTCCTGTCTTATTTTTCGATCCCGAAGATGGAAGTGACACGTTCCTCCGAAACGTTGGCTGACTTTTTAACGGGCTACACAGCTTTATACCCCCAAGATTTCCTTCTTGGTGGTAATTATCAACACCGGAAGATGTCGAAAGCAGAACCAAACCTGAAAACAGTCTGTAGCACTTTATCTGAAAGCCCCTATCCACAGATACAACAGGTATTTTCTTAGCTCACTTATCAACGCTTTGTACTTTCACGGGTTTGTTTTCTTCCTAAAAACATAAATGGAAATATAGACTATAATTTTAACTATTGTTTCGTTTGGGTGTGAAAGCTGGTCTTCCAGGGGAACCACTTCGATTGAGAGTGTCTGAGAAGAGGGTGCTGAAACTTGTGAGCTTACTTTCAGGGTTGCGGTTACATAAAAAAGTAGAGATACGACACGTACAGTAGAGTGGGTACACCACCGTGACCCTGGGAGTCGTAGGAGGCGACGAAAATGGAAGTGTCACATCTGAGACAATAAAATATGGTCGCCAATCCCAAGGGACTCGGACCCGAGAAAGACTAAGCTGGCAAGGGCCAGCAGCATATACAAAAGACAGACCCGTCCTCTCGTCAGAGAGGGTGCCCCACAAAAACAAGGCCGTAAGTGTGAAACAGTAATAAATATCTGGCCATGAGCCCCATCACTGACTGACTGACCGTCAGTCGCAACGTGACTTCGACTTGCACAGAGGAGCCTGTATACGTATGTACATACATGGGAAAGAAGAGATCAAGCAGTGACTAGCTGAGAATCAGTCTAGAGATTTGCCAGGTCTGGGAAATACTAACCTATACAAGAAAATGCAGTGCTGGACAGACTACGAAAGCGTGGTTCGAGTATCAGCACACCCCCTTACCTCTGCCGCTGGCTTTCCGGCTAAAGACACACATTCTAACTCGATCTCTCTGTCTTCAGTCGTCACAAGAAAATCCCCTTGCACTATTCTAGGAGGCTCAGGAGGTACAAGAACTGTGAGGGTCGCGAACTTGGACCGGATTCCAGGCTCTCCAGCGAGTCCGGGGCCCACCTGACACTGGTACCGAGCGTCGTCATCCAGCATCACGGGGAAGATATCCAGGGAGAAGTCTCCTGCAACAAGAGAAAACAGAGAAGTGAGACAAGTTCCCGTGTGAAGGTCGTAACGGGGCCGGATTTCCGGATATCCCAGATGAGGAGATATATTTAGAACAGTGCGTTGGCACCCAGCAGCGGGCGCGCGGGCGGGCATGCGTGGGCGCGTCGCGGCATGTAGCGTCCTCCTCACAATCAACCAGCTTCATACACCGATCAATGAAGGATTAAAAAACGCAAGAAACGCCATTGGAAACTCTACACTTTCACGCTTATTTTTGACTGACTCCTGTTCTTCGCGCGGGATTTTCTTAAAGTAAACTGCATTGAAAAACTAATATTTCTCCTATGACGTAACTTCGGGAAAGTTAATGCTTGTAACTATGTACTTATTACACATTTTTTTTGGTATGGATTTACAATAATCTGGATATGCAGGTGTTAAAAATTTAGAAAGTATTTATTTCATGTGACTTAAAATTAAACAATATGTATGCTCTAAGAAGTAGAATATATTTTTTAAATTCCTGTGTTTACACGAAGCACTCATCAGAAATCATCAGCACTCACTCAGAAAGCAAATATTGCTACAAAGATAATTTTCGGCTATAACGAAAGTGTCATTTGTATTGAGAAAAATGTATATTCCACACATATGCACGAGTCCTGTATATTTCTAACATGACGTCACTTACGTTCAAGACTCTCAGGTGTTCTCTCTGTAATGCATGTGACATCTCGCCCACGAATTTATATGATATATTCTTACTTGGACCTGTGCGCAGTATTTGATTTACTGACAGAATAATGAAATTTGCACAAATGCAGGCAAGGTCAATTTGTACCACATACTCAGTTCACTTAAATCATTGAAATATTTCATGCAATACTGCAGTAGATGACGCACAGTCCGTCTCCAGTTAGTAACAAATGCTTTAAGCTTTAAATCAACACGTTCTCTATTTCTTTCCGCAGTATCTCTAAATTCGACGCCTCTGTGACGGCTCTGATCCACAGTCTCTGGGCCGAATACAGGGAACCGGCCCTTTCTAAGGCCTTACAAGGACCGTGCCTTGAATAACACCAGAGCCCTTCTTTCGATGTCCGCCCGATTCAAAAGTCCTACTTATTTTATCCTTCAATACGTTTCTGTGTACATGCAGTAAGGCTGTGAATGGCAAGGAAATGGGTGCCAGCCCCTCACTGCCCTGCAGTTCCATGTCACCTAGCCTCAGTTTGTCGGCTCATTGCACCAATATTATGTCGGATACTGGCCACTGACAGCAATGGCCTACATTTTACATTCACATTTGAGACGCTGGCATCGTTCCAGTTCTGCAGGCGTCTGGGTGTCAAGATGGGAGAGAGTGAACTCCCGAAACGTCGTCTAGGCCTGTATAGGACACACTTCACACAGTGGACAATGTATAACATGATACTGGTGTAGTCAGTCACGTTATTGGCGGGCACCCAGACGTCATAACTTGAGCTCCAAAATGGCGACCATGCCTACATTCAAGATGGGAGCCATAATGGAGACACTCAATCGGCAGCAGCGGAAGGTGTGTGATAAAGGACACTTTAAAATATGTTTAATTTTATTAAAACAGTTTATGTTTGAATGTGGATAATGATTTTCCCAGAACTGCCCCTCGAATTGCTACTTGCATTCTGTGTGATGAGAAGGCTATGGTACATGAGGCAGGCAGAGTAAATTGTACATAATGCCTTTGTAGGCAAGCGTACAGATGTGCGGTCTCTTAAAGCAAGATATTTCGATATGCACATATGCGCGGTCCTGTCAGAAGTGCGCTGTGGGACAGAGAAATTGCTAGGCATTTGTCTCAGGCCAAGGCGACAAGAGGGGTCGGCTGAAGAAAGTCACGTTGACAAGAAGCAGGGAAGTGACGTCATTGTTTGATGAAACTTCACAGCTGTCATACAGAAGAAGCCAAAAAAAAAAAAAAAAAAATGTAATGTTCTTACATAAAGAAAAAACAAACGGAGAACTTTTCTTTTCTACCTCCAATCCGTTTACTTGCACTTAAAATAATAATTTATCTACATTTATCTAACTCTAGAATTACGGATGCAACAGTCCTTCTTGAGAAGTTCATTGCGCTCAGCTGGTCAAGAAGTTTCCAGCTTATTATTGTACCCGATGACTCACCATCAGCTTCACTATATCCCGCCAGTGGTCAATACCAGTTGACTGTTAGGCCATTCAGACAGAGATGCCGCAGTGGGCAAAAAGCCTCAGGACAAGTATTTTCGAAAGTATGAACCGGGTAGCGACAATATTGCTAACGCAGCAGTGTGAAAGTTACTTCAGTTCGAGTTTGAAAACTGCAGGAACAATTGTCGCTGAGTCGTCTGTTATACTGTCTGCAGGCGACATCAGAGTCACGTGTACATCGGGTAGGTTCACGCAAGTAACTTTGCACGCTTTTATCAGTTAACTGGCTCTTCCCTTCAACGATTTTTATAACAGAATCAATTCTTCTATATTGCCAGTCACGTGACTGGGTGCAGGAGAGATGTGACAATGCTTTCTGGGCAGAGATCCCGCACTAAGATATCCCTACATATTTAAACATTAGAAGCATAAACTGCTGTGACATGTACAGCCATCTCTAGGCAACGCCCGAAATACGAGTACGCAACAATGGAAAGGATATTGGAAGAAGTATTTATGTGTGGTCCGCGCCATGCCCAGTGCAAGGCAAGGAACAATAGACACGCATTATTCACAAAAGAAGACCGTGTGGGGTCCGCGATATAGCCAGTGCTGGTAACGGGCCAACGAACACGCATTGTGACACATGACATGTGTTTTCTGTCATGCGTTGTCCGTGCCGCGACTATGTAAGGGAGTCAGTTGTCGGTAAGGTAGCCACGAGAAGTTAGTAGTTGAAGAATTAGAAGTCAGACTGTGAAGACTTAGTGTGTGATTAGAAGATGTAGTCACAGCTGTTTTAATTCCGTTACTAGGGTTCGACTAGTGAAGACTGAGAATCCTAGTGCGTGTGTAACGGTGAACTGTAAATTGTGTAAATCAGCGACACGGCTGTATTGCTTCTAAGCGGGAGGTGAATGTATAAGGTGTTAATAAATCCAATCATCCAATCCAAAAATAGTCATGTCTTCGAACCACGTAACTTCTAAACCATACGCCAGTGCCTTACACGAAATTTACAGACCATTTAAAATTCTGGAAGCAGTTCTGAAACAAAGCAACATCCTGAACAAACTCGAAACATATTCAATGCTGACGAATCTTGTATTCAGCTAATATACGTACAAACCCGGAATATTTGCAGCACAGGAAGGGGTCAGAGATGTGCACGTTCCTGCGTCACATGATAGAGGGGAGAATGTAGCAGTGACCGCATGATCCCTTCTGAAGGACAGTTCCTTCCACCAAACGTCATTCTGAAATGAATTAGTAATAAACAAGCATTTGGGGACCGTCTTCCCTAGGGACCGGAAGTGCATACGAACGTCAAGTCCTCCTACTTTAATTCAGGGTTATTTTTCTGATTTTTTTTGGGAGCACTTTATTCCGAATAAACCGTCAGGGAAACGCCTCCTTGTTCTTGATGGTCATGCATTTTATTGCAATGAATCTGAGTTACTGGAGCTAGCAGACTCACATGACATTGCTACTCTCTCCTTACCAAGTCACATACCTCAGGCTATTCACCTACTAGGCTTGTCTCTCTTTAAGCCTCTTAGGACCTATTGCAATCAAGAACCAACGACATGGATGAGAAGCCACAAAGAATGGAACACTACACGGTACCAAGTGGCGGAGCTCATTGGAAAAGCTTGGTAAGTGCTGTCCCTGTGTCACATGGCAGCTCAAGAGGTACAGTGACTGGAATGTTTCGTTTCGACGCAAATGTAATTCCCAACCACTACACTACAAACAATTCAGCGAGTCCACGTGAAAAGAAAGAACCATAACTTTCAGCATCCACGTTAGGAGTCCGTCTGTCTCAGCCTCTGATGGAATATATACAAACAGGCCATCAAAACACCTCCTAGAAGTCGGTCCGGTCCCTACAATTCTTGCTGCCTTCAACAGGAGAATAACACAAAGTGCAACTATTATAATGCCACAGGAACTTATCAACAGACGAAATGCAGCTGACGAGAAGAACCGAACGAGAAACACATCGGGATCAAAGAAACCACAGACGAAAGCTGAACAAAGAAAGACTCGTGAGGAAAGTTAGAAAAGGAAGACTATAGTTACGATATCAACATCTGCTATAAATTCTGGGGAAACTGTATCAAGACAATATTAGAATGCAGAAAATGGCTACATTAATCCTGTACCACGTGTGGACTGTTTTGTAATTTGTGTGGACGGGATAAAAAGAGAAAAGAAAAGAAAAGGAGACATAGGGACAGAAAGAGTGAAGAGGCCTGTTGCGGCATCTCCCCCACACATGAGATAGAGATGTCGCAAGTACAGTCTTTTCCTTGCTTTGTGCTTGTGATCACATTTCCTTGATTTCAAGTCTTGTAGATTTTGTGCTCAAAGCAGAAGAACTGTTCAACTAATAAATTATTTTGTTTTCTTTAAATACCGCTGTACAAATTTTCATCATTTACAGACAGGTTTTTAAAAACTGCCGCAACTCTCCCCAATTCATCCTAGTCGAGATACTTTTTAAAATCCTCTATTTATTCCCATCTACATCTAGGTCTGCCAAATGGTCTCTGTCCTTCAGATTCTCCGACTAAAATACTGTATGCTTCTCACCTGCCCTTGTTCCCCCTTCATTAAGTTCGATTTCATAACCCTAACAGCATTATTTGGGACCTACAATTGATGAAGACTTGCCAGTTTCTCTGTCCTGTTATTTCTTCTTTCTAAGACCCGAATATTCTCCTTACCACCCTGTTATGGCTAAGCCACTGGGCTGTATACGGAGACGCGTCGTTTCAGAAGACAGACAAAGGTATCAGTATACAGGGTGTTCAATCAAGGAGGAAACTTCGCAACACCG